GAGAGAGAGAGAGAGAGAGAGAGAGAGAGAGAGAGAGAGAGAGAGAGAGAGAGAGAGAGAGAGAGAGAGAGAGGTGCTTATTTTCAAGAAGTTGCCTGCTCTTCTCCCATCTCCTCCCTTGCCAAAATGGCACCCCGTCCACTTGGTGACAGCCAGAAAAGGAAGTCCTGGTCAATCAAGGCAAACTTGGATATCATTAAAGATTATGTGCCCAGTGTTAAAGGGAAAGGGTTTGACATCATTGGGAGGAGATATGGGGTTGACAAATCCACACTGCGCCAGTGGGTTTTACAAAAAGATAAGTTGGAGGAGGCTTTGAAAAACAAGATGACAAACAGTAGAACGCAGTGGCGGCGTGGGGGTGGTGGGCAGAAACCTGCACATGAGGAGCTGGAAGAGCAGCTCGAGCAGTGGGTTTTGTAGAAGAACACAAGGGGTCTGAGAGTCAGGGAGCAATACATACAGGCGAAAGATCGATTGATTTTTAAGTTGCAGAAGGAAAGGGGCGAGGTGGAGGAGGGTGCGGTCTTCGATGGGTCAATGGGCTGGATGGCGCGATTCAAGCGCCGAAAGGGGTTTGTGTCACGACGGCACACAACTTCGAGGTCCTTGCCTTTGGATGCTGCAGACATGCAGAGCTTTCATTGACGAAATCCACAACGTCATTGATAAGCATAACATCTGCCCGCACAACATTTTCAATATGGATCAGGTCGTGATACTTTGAGACGGAGCCATCATCTACAATCGCGAAGTAAGGGACACGTGAGGTGCTGATGCGCAAAGCAAGCAGCTCACACAAATGTTTCACGGTCACTTTCACCATCTCTATGGCTGGCGAAATGTTGGAAGCCTCACCTTCTTTTCACAAAGTTGAAGAACAAGCCAGCAATGGAAGGGCATGTTGCTGTTGATGTTAACATGGCGGGGATGTGGAGTACGGACACAATCATCTCATTCATCAACGACACAATAGCATCAAGGAAAGAGACGGCGTTTATAGCCGCCAACCTGTTCTTCTGATCATTGATAGTTATGGACACTCATTTGAAGGTGGCTGAGAGTGACAGATTGAAGAAGATGAATATCAATGTTCGTATCATCCCTCCCAACCTGACGGGCATTATCCAGCCTCTTGATGTTGCTCTGAATCGGTCTTTCCAGCAATCTTATGGATGTTAGTATGATGAATACGTCTCCAAGGCTTTGGAGGACCCGTCCTTGCAGACAAAGACGGGCAATCTGAAGACCCCGACGTACCAGATGGTTGAAGATTGGGTTTGCCAGTGGGCAAAAACAAAGACAACGGAGGATATCACACAGGCATTCGCAATGTGTGGCTTGGTGCGCAAGGAGGATTTTGATGTGGACAAGTTGCACGCGCCGCTGAGAGCATTGTACAACGATGTGGTCGACATGGACGACTTGAATAATCACTACGCGGAACGGTTTGCTGAGGCACCAGTCCCTATGAACGTGGCTTTGCTCACTGCGCCAGAGTACTTCATCCCTGAGGATGTGTTCGAAGGTCAGCCTAACAGTTACTGGCAATGCCTTCGTCGGGCTGTGTTGGGTAGAGCACCGTCCATTACTTGTGCAGAGTTCCGGTCCAACATTGTGAACCACGTGAGGAGTATGAAAATCCTTGCTGACATCATTGGCGATGCGTACTTTGCGGATCTTGGGTCTGGTGTGACCCTTGACGAGGAGTACATAGCTTATGCCATTACCGAGGTCCACACTGTGACTGTTCGCATCCAGAGTGGGAAGGACTCAAGTTACTGGAGTTTTGAACATCCCGACGCTACGGCCGTAATTGATCTTGTGTACGGAGTTTTGAGCATCCCGACGCTACGGCCGTAATTGATCTTGTGTGTGTGGATGGTTTCTAGGTGCTGAAGTCGTCTTTGGAGCCGCCCGGGAGAGGACAGCCCCTCCCCTTTGGGCCCCTGTCCCACCCCCATGGGCCTTTTGCAGGGCCTGCGCAGTTAATCCCCTGGTCTTCCAGGGCAATCACTGCTGGCGGGCCCTTCGGTAGCTCTGTAGCTCTGTGTGCTGAGTATGTGTATTGCTACTGGACGCTGGACCCGGTTTCCAGCAGGTGACAGGCCTGCCACAGGGAGCTGCTCTTACCGCTTCCTTTAGGAGGCTGACGCTGGCGTTAAAAAAAAAAAAAAAAAAAAAAAAAACTGTTTCGAAGGTGAGCTCCCGAGTAGGGAATTTGCAGAGTTAGATAAAAGTGAGGCAATGCGGTGGCATACCCAAGAAATGCTGAAGGAATAGTTTTTTTTAAAGTTGAGGTAGTAGGAGGATTTTCAGCCATAGTTGAAGTAAGATCTCAGGAAGTATGCCAGAAGTTCTATGTGCATCAGCAATGCAATGAAGGATTTAAAAGACTCTTGTTCATCATGGATGATTTTTGGGAAAAAAATATATTTTTTGCACTTCTCAAAATTTTGCGGCAATTTGAATTTCGCATACCCTTTTCTTCCTCCTTTGTGTGGTGAGCCATCACGGATGGTTTTCACAATCTCACATGGTGAGCAAATTTGAAAAGTTATAAAAATTTATGCTTGCACAATAAAAGTTATAAAAGTGATGCAACATTGCACAAAGGTTTGGATCAATGCTTGCTAAGAGCATGCTCACACTAGGCCCTCAAACTCGCAAAATCACAAAGTGAGCGGCCAGATCGAGTCCCTGTGAAGGAAGGACTAGATCTGGCCGCTCATTTCCGGATTTTTTCGATTTTGAGGACCTGGTGTGAGTATGCCCCAAGTACGTCTGCTGGTGGTGATCATAAATTTCATCGTTAAGTGCTTAGGTAGGTGGTGGAGACCCAAAGAGTTTTACGGCGATCTGGCCGCACTTACCTACACACCTGATGGAAATACTTGAATAGCGTTCGTGGACCACAGCCCTGAGTTTCAGGCAGGCAGAGTTGGCCACATCTTAGACCGCTGCAGTTGATAACCTGCCAGCCACGGGAAAGAAGTTATCCCGCAAGGCCTTCAAAGCGACACAAACCAGAAAGAAGCAACAATTACCCACCAGGCCATCAAAAACCAAAACAATCGACAACTTCAAAATTCATATCCCTAAAGCTAACCTATCCCAAGTCCGTCTACCTGCAAACGTAATTCTTCTACCGTTACTGCAGTCCCAGCGTTTGTTTCACCCCTAACTCGGGGTACGTAATAAGGACATCCTAGCTTGGGATTCCATTCCAAAGTAACATACGTGCTCCCTTTTCCAGAACCCGATGCCTGCCGACTTCCCCCCACCCAACCAATGCTGCTCCCCCCCTCTCCCCCTCCGCCTTCACTTTTTTATGCTGTTTGCTCCCATACGTTTTCGTGAATGTTCTGAACGTTTCAAATGACTTGATGATCTTGATGATGCTTTGGACAGCTCCAATTCGCTCAGTGAGGGACCACGTCGAGTTGCTCTTGCTTTTTGGTTTCATTCATTCCTTGGGGGGGGGGGGGGGGGGGGGGGGG